CAAAAGAATCGTTTTCGGTGGTAAACCATTTTCTACTAGAGGTTTTAGAAGATTTTGCAGTTCTCCGTCTATAGTATCCTCTATACATTATTTCTTGATCATCGAGGAAAGTGAATAGATACGATTTCTCTTACTACTTAGGTGGATCGAACTTTGAAAATTAATAAACTATCCATTCCACGAAGGTTCTACACGATTCAACAATGCCATTCAAAGAGAATGAAGTCATGGCGTTTAGGTATAGCTGAAGTATTAGCCATTCATTGGATTTCTGGTTTTTCTGCAATATTCCATCCATTTCTCGATGCTGTTTATCACCTGTAATTACCACTTGGAACGATAGGTTGTTCGGGTTGGCTAGTCCCTAAGAAAACTAACTTATATTATCATTGTAAAGTTTAAGCCTTATTTTCGCGCCCTTTTTGCGCCATGCTATGTGGCTTATTTTCATCGCAGTTTAGGATACCAGACGCTGATTGGTCCACTTTACACTTTGAATATGCTATTTTGTTTTCTCTGGCCAAGGTCATCTAAGGACATATAAACGACTGAGAGTTTTTACCTATTATTATTCGGTTGGAGTAAATAAACTTCCGATCTCATTGTCTTCTTCTGGTGTCAGCTGAATATCAAGTTGAGAAGTCATTGTTCAATCGTTATTTGATACGTCTCGGAGCGTTGGATCGTAACACAGGGACTACTGTGTTAAGTTAAGCTTTATTTATCTGACCTCCTGTCGATTGATTTCTAACATCTACTCTCTACGATACATTGCAGTGTTGCTTCACCTAATTCAGTGGTACTATGACTGATTTATTGATCTAACCACTTGACCTTTCAACTGATAAGTTACAACTTTAAACTCCACCTCATTTATCGAGGTCTTGGAGGTAAACAGGTAGTATGATTAACCTTCGCACAATAAGTATGGCTCACTGTCTACTCTAAAAATGTGTATATGGTTGGTGAGGTAATTTTACGGTATACTTTTCTCATATTACAACCACAGACAGAGATAAATCGGGAGATAGGGAAGAAAAAAGCTAATGTAGAACCTCATACACAAGAGGATTGGATCAAGTTGCCGTAGATAATAACAACATACAAAGAGCAATCAGGTGTAAAAAGAGTGGTGTTAAAGCAGAAAAAAGGTCCATAGGACTGACAAAACCAACTTAGAATCTCGCACACAGGTAAAATAGTTTAAGTCGCCACATCTCACAGTAGTACACAAAGAATAGGTGGATGGAAAAAGAGTGATATGAAAGCAGATAAAGTTGTGTGAGAGAATAAACAATCTGAAGATAACGAAATGAAACGGTAAATACATCTGCGCCACTACTGTGACCGATATTCAGCCATGTCACCAAGACTCCGCAACCACGGATTCCGACCGTCTCGAGGACCTCAACCATGCAGTCTACGTAGCCCCATACGACTCAAACCAACAGTCAGGGACTACATCGACCGATGCCATGTCTTGGTCTGGTCACCCTGAACTCTATTTCAACCTAGTATGTCACGTCCAGGTAGGTGGTGGCTCAGCATGTACAATACGTGTTCAAGCCATCGCAGTCAACTAACGTTCACAACATCATCAATCGACTTGCCTGTCTTGCCTAGTACCCTTCACTTGACCTCAACATTGCTCAAACGGTGATTCCACTACACACAAGCAATGCTGTGAAGACATATGGGATCAAGATTCAATAATCACTTCATGTCTTTTACTTCCGACGGCCATATCTCATAGCCGTACCTCGATTTGATATGCTAAGTGAAGCTGGACTAGGTTGGAAGAAGGTTCAGGGTGGCCAAACGAAGACATGGTACCAGTCGATGAAGTCTGTGACAGTTGGTGGAAGTTGTGTTGGGAGATGTAGCCTACCTACCTGACTAAAATCCCTGAGACGATAGGAACCAGAATATGAGGGTCGACTCTTGGTGACATGACAGAAAATCGGTCACAATGGTGCAGATTTACTCGCTGCTGGATATCGTCTACAACTTGAATATGTGCACTAACCGTTAGCTTCAGACTGTCTATCCCTTCATATAACTTTGTCTACTCTGATACCAGTCTTTTTCTATCTATCTGTTCTTTGTGTAGTACTGTGAAGTGTGACAACTTGATCCCGTGTACCTGTGTACGAAGTTCTACGTGCTGGTTTAGTCAATTAGCCAGTCAGTGGCTCGGCATGCGCAACATATGCCCCAAGCCACTTCAGTTGATGAAGTTTCACAACTTCATCAATCAACTTGCCCATCTTGCCTAGTACCCTTCGCCTGATTTCAACACTGTTCAAATACGGTAATTCTATCAATCACAGATAAAGTGTATGGGAGGAGAAAGTGTTTAAAATAGTCAAAGTTATAAAAATTGTTCAATCTTTAGAAGCCACTAAAAAGTGAATAGATCTTGCAATTACCAGTGACTTTTAATCGCTTCAAGCAGTCCCCAATCATTGATTGGTACTATCTCGACGATTTCAGTTAGACACTATACGCCGGCTATTAGTAACAGTAATACTCCAATACTATAATAGAGTATAATTCCAGATTACATCGGTTAGGTAAAATGTTTCTGTAATGGAGCTAGGAGTCTGAATAGTAAATCAAAAAATCTAAATAAGGCAATTAAGCATATTAAAGAGACACTAATGCTTAATAACTACTCTTCAATGTTTATAAAAAAGTTAATATAAGGACCCATAAAGTTCATACAACTTGAACTGACTTATCTTCCTTGTCTAATACTCTTCTTGAAATTGTTCAGACGATGGCTTCGCCATACATGAACAATACCATGAAGATACTTGTGATGAAAACACTGCAGATAATTCATATCCAACGGCTAAGTCTTACAGCTGTATAACAGGAAAGAACCAAATGCAGTGCGGTAAACTCATCATTCACTAAGTAATCGGATATCTCATCAGTGACAGAAATAACGCGAATTGGTGAGTGCAAAACGATCTTTCTGTATCCGAGTTGTGATTACCAGCCCGTTTGAGCTGATGCAACTCCCCAAGTAAGTGAGGTGGTCGATGGATTCCACCACTTCATTTCTTAGCAATTAATCTTGGAGTATTTGGAGACCAGTCCTGTAGCCTCAACTTATATTCGAAAGGTGCCACGGAAACGCACGCCAAACATACTCAGATTTCTGCTCAACGCGTTCAGAAGGCCCTGTCCGTATTTTCTCAGCATCTTCATCCAGCAGGTCAACATAGTCTGCGTACTCCGAGTAAACCAAGTGACCTTTAGGGAGTAGGTTCATCCCTGTGAAGTCAGACGTACCTAAAGTCATATCCATTAGTACGCTCATAACGAAGTTTAACATGAAAGGTGACAGTGGGAATCCTTTCTGGACACCACTAGCAGTCATAAATTCTGATGACAACTCTCCATAAGCCCTGACATTGCTGCATGAGTTCGAGTAGAGGTTTGATGAGCGTTATATAATTGTTCCGTACTTCCTTCACAGTGAGACACTGCTACAACACCTCATAGTCGATAGAGACAAGTGCTACCTCCAGGTCAAGAAATATGGCATGTTTTGGCCGCCAGGAGGTATGTCTATGTTCCAGAACCTGTCGTTGAATACCTGATCGATGCATCTTCGTCCAGCTGTCTATTTATCTCGAGCTCCAGTTACGCATAGGATGATCACGGACCACAGGATCTTGGACACAGTATTAGTCAAGCTAATTCTCCTATGGTTGTCATAAGATTTCTCTTCCTTCTAACAGACTGAACTGATCAGTGAAGTAGACTAGTCTGACGGTACTACCTCTGAATCTTATACACAACTTAGCATTTCTGTCACTCTAATAAGCAATTTCCTATCTCCATCCTTAAAAACTCCTGGCTACCTGCTGCTTTGCGTCGTTTCGGGTTCCATACAGCTTCCTCAACTTCAAGGAGAGTTGGTGGACTGATACCCACGTGGTATTCAGGTTCAGGCTAGATGCCGGGCGACTGAAGCGTTGATGTGAGCTAGTTGAATGGAGTGCTTTAAAGTGTTCTGTCCAACGTTCCAGCCGACTATGGTGAGAGGTTACCACCACCACCATCCTTCATCGTTTTAGGTGATGGTTTCACTCACCATCGTCTTTTTCCTACTGGTATGCTTCTCTACTCGGAAGTATTCCGAAAAGCTGTTTTCGTTCTTCACTGCGGTCACAGTCAGCCAAATGGAATTCATCTTTTTCAATTAATCAATTCAGATGAAGTTGCAGAAATCCATTGACATTTTCTCAACCCTTTAGATGTAGGTTATCAAATGTCCTTACCACTATTTTTACAACAGACAGTAAGCTTTATCTACATGAGAATCATTCTTATGGTCAGATAAATACTTAAGCTATCTTCCTCTCGAGAAATATGCTCAACTCTTAAATACACTGTAAATTGTGTTACTTTACATTGTTCATGGAAAGGATTTTAGCATCAATCACGAAAATTTCCTAGTCAAAACTAATATCTAAGGATTGTATCATCATATTCAAACATCAGCCAACACATCCATTTGTCTACTTAGTAAACTTCTAGGCGTTACTCTCAAACAAAAACGTCAAATAGAAGGCCATCAGATCATCTTCATTAGTCGAGTTGAACCAACAACAACAACAAACCATGCATAAATTCTCTTTTTATCGCTCTTCCTTCCAACCGATTGATATCAACCTATAACTTAAGCGCTGACTGAACAAATTCATATTCATTTGAAATCAGTTTAGATTACAGATCAACAACAAAGAAGTCTAGTCTCATCGTCAAGTTTTATATTGGTCATGACATGATTTCTCAGGTGGTTGAGAGTTAGATAAGTCGTGTTTTCCGAATTCTGTCGTCACTTCGCAAGCATCTATCCTCAAATCTTACTACAGGTACCAACCTTCACATTAGAACTTCAGGGAGTCCATCTTAAAAGTAGGTTATTACGGATCATTGGATTGTAATCAATTCAAATAGGCGCATCTTTATGAATAACTTACCGTATCATTCGTTTGTGTTTGTTGTGGATTATTAGGATCAGAAGTGGTCAATGTACTGGCAAATGCAGCTGCCATAGCGCTAACTGAATTTGATGTCTCTGGGGAGGCAGGTGTACACGCTGGAGCCGGAGGAAAAGATGACCCAGAAACTGCAATACTATAATTATCTGTTCCAAGTATATGAGGAGCAACATCACCTGGATCGCTACCAGCAGCTATTGCTGCTGCTGCGGCTGCCGATGGAGATGAGCCCGACACAGCTGTAGCTGCATTTGTGTGTGTTAACAACTCTTGTGGGAAGTCAAATCCACTAGACGAACCACGTGATTGTATATGACCAGACCGATCAACACCTGAGCCAGCTTGATAATCACTTTCATCACTATCGTCATCGCTATCTACACCACCACCACCACCACCAGATATACGTCCAACTGTATCGAAATTCCATTCTGTACTGTTATGCTAAAATATTAGAACAATAAAAGAGGATAACTTTTCTAGAAAAAATGTCAAGTAGCGGGAACTGCCTTTAGGCTAACAAATTATCAAAAATCATTGGTTGTATAGCCTATTCAAATTCTGAAAATTTACTGAAGACAAAAGAAAAACAGTGACTAACAGAAACAAGAGACAAAACAGAATTGAAGATAATAAACACTAATGATACTAATGGCCACAGGTGTTCGATAGGATCTCAGAACAGTTTAACAATATGCATCATAAGGAATAAGCAGAAATAAAGAAATGAAAAGGCATCTGGTAGAACAGTCTGTCATGTTTATAATTCAAACTACAAATTGGAGTGAAAACCAAATAAAAAAGGAAGGAAAACAGCAGTATAAACAGCTGATACCAGAATCAAGCAAATCTACAGATTGCTTCTATCTCCTAAATTAGTCGTTTTGCGGCTCCCTTCATCCTATTACCTACTCCAGATAAGAAAGAATTTCAAGAGATGCAACTTCTGCGTATATCTAATATCCAACGTCCAGTATTAGCATCGATAATCATAGAGTTTCGCAGCATACTATCAAGTTGCAGCACAAGAAATTATTTACCCGATACAAAAGACCGTTTCACAACTCTCAATATTTAATGCCTGGGTAGGACAGTAGAAAAGTGACAAACAATATAAGACTGTGCATCACAGTTATACCTCCTGCGTTCCGTGAATCAATGTTTAGATGAATTCAGCAGACAGTGGTGGGATAAAACAATTTCATTGGTGAAAAGGTCTGTAGATCTGATAACTTGTAGCTGATCGGTTGGGAAGTAAACGAACAAAACAGCCGTCCAGTGTTTAGATCACTGTCATCTATCTGGCTACCGAAGTAGTACAAATCAACCTGGTTGATTTACTAACTACTCCAAATGTTCACTAATAGTATCTTTCGTAAATTCTATTATCACTACTACTAATTTGAATTCTAGCCTATTGACTTAGACAATTTAGTTCCAAACACACACTGCGAGTTCCAACTCTGTTTTATCCAACAGGGCATATCAGCAGCTAAGGTGTACAATGAACTCTCTCTCTCTTCCTTACACTACACAAAACGTGCAATTAGTTACCCTCATATGCATTTCTATTCAATTTTTCGGATGCCTAACACTTTTGGAATACTCTTATAGTAGCCACCTACCATAAAAGTGACCAAATAAACCACATGAAAAGGTACATCAAATGTACACTTAAGCCATATAAATACTTTCATTGTTCCGAAAGAACCATCAAGCTAAGAACTGTCAGTCCTCTCTTCAACTACACCATCAATGACATTCTTGAAATGTCAGTGTAGATTTGTTACCAATTATGAATATGCTGACGATATCGTTGTAGTGTGCAACAGCATACAATACAGGTGACTCAAATTCCACTTGATCATTCCAACTGACGACCAGTTCTCGTAAATAGTTAAAATGTGTACTATGATATGAGAGAGTGTAAAGTATTCCTACGAGAATGACAAGGGATTGTGTGTATCTGTTGAAGATTAGCTGTTGTAAAACAACCAGGTGATCATGTTATTTGAATACAAATGAAGAGGGAGGATGGTTGTCTGCCGTTTCATTATTTGTTTCAGGCTGCTTTACATCTCGAATCGACATGATTCAGAGAGTTGATAAAATCTTGGGAAAGGCACGGATGGAACAGTTGTTTCGTTTTAGTTCTCTGTGAAACAATCCATCAGTGGTCGGAGAACCTTAAAATGGAGTTATGACTAATTGATTTATGGAGTTGACTTTCAACCAATTGGTGACCAGTTTGATCACTGCTCCACCTAACGAGAATTCGGTAACCAGCTAATATATCAGCATTAGCAATCACAGACCATAGGTGTGTTTGTATGTGTGTGTATGACTCATTGTCGCCTACTTCACAATTGTGCATAAGGTTGTGTTGAGTGATTTTAGATCCGATCCCTGAACTCTAGCAGTACCCTCATCGATTCGTTAATTCCTAATGGAAGTTTCTTTGTACCGTATCTCATGAAGCCAAATATCTTGTTACTCTCCACTTCTTATCTTCTTCTCCTCCTTGTTTACACTTTAATTGAAATAAGATATAGTGAGATAGAGACGGTGGACTGTTTATCTAAGTAACATTAGAAATAGTTTTGCACAGAATATCATTCAGCTTCTGACATGGTGAAATACCACAGTTCAGAGAACCCTTTCAAACCACTACAATCCTCATTCCGAGCTGAGCTACAAATCATTTCGATTACTTGAAAACCCTTGATTCATGCAATTCAGAGTATATGGAGTCTGTCGACAGTCTATCTGGATTCACTAATCTCTTATCCTTCAAACCATGCCCTGTGTATCGAAGACAACAGTTTTTATAAAAGCCTATTGCAGAATAGAAATATATTCTACAGTTAAATACTAATTGTAAACTATTCATAGAGCTTCCTGTGTGCATATTTGTAATGTGTGGTTGATGCATTTGGTTGAAAGGTTGGTGGTGGTGGTGGTGAGTGAGGTTGACTTTAAATCTGGAACTCTCCAGTGTTGGGAAATATTTCCCTCTTAACAGTGAACGACACTTTTACAACTTCATTTGAATATTATTTTGTTGTATAGATAATTTCATGTTTTAATTGATTTATTAGTGGTGTGTATCAGAGAGTGAAGAAATAGATGTATCGTTTACTGGATTACATTTTGGACACCATTTAGGTCGTGCACAGTCATACGAAGACAATAAAGCGTACAACTTTGAGATATGGTTTATATTGGTGCTAAATCTCTCTTGTCTACTTTGTGATATAGGGTAGGGGTAGATTTTCGATACATCGGAAACAGGTGCTGAGTCATTCACTCCTCTTGGATTTGTTTGATGAAGGAGAACTATTGATGTTGCATAACAGAATCAAGTGGAAACAAAACAGGAATGCAGACAGTTATGTCTACAGAAAACGTGCAAAAAATTATTCATTTCATTTTTAATTGATTTGTTATATGTGTATCACATTCAGTGTCGTACTGTATGATGAACTTTAATACATCATCATAATGTCCAAGTTTTTCTTTTATGTTAATTGTGGTTCATTGGTTTACGGAGCTAACTTTCAACTAGTGCATCGCCGATTCCAGTATCGCTCCATCTACTGAGGTTTGAGGAGCCAAGTTGTGCCTAATTGCTTACAGCACGACTTTACAGAAGGCTGCTGATTGAATCTCTTCACTTTTTTCTCCTTTGTGGTAAGTATCATATGATATAGTCAGTAAAACTATGACTTAATCTGAACTCTATAAGAATTGTTTGAACAGAGAAACTTTATTAGGTGGATGTAATTGGTATGCTCCTACTTCGGTGAAAGATGCTATGCAAAGAACTATCAAATACCCTTTGACCCTGAGGAATATGAATGATTTCGAATGATTATATGCAGTATATGGTTGGGGGGGGGGACTTAGACAACTATTCTTCTCAATACTTGTTGCTATACGGAACTGAATCACTCGACCTCTGTTGGTAGATGGGCTCCTATACGGCTAGATATTCACTATATGATATTCATCTTGGTGACTAGCAGTCAATTCAGTTGGATGTACTTGCGTCCCAGTGAGTGATACTGTTTCAACTGAGGCGATTAGGGTCTAGTTGAGTAACGCCTTGGCATTTTAAACGATAGGTACTGGGTTCGAATCTCGGTGGGAATAACATCATTCGCTGGAGTAGAAGTACATTGAATTCACGAGTCTCAAATAGAAGAAAACATGCATCCTGAATTCCACTGTGTTAGTCACCAGTATGAATTTAACAGTTAGACTACTAATCTACTCTTAGTTCCACTTTTGTCTGAACAACAACCAAATGTCAAATTGATTATAGATCTTAAAGACTTTGCCATTGACATTTCAAAGTTTTGAGGAGTGTGATATCACCCCCCCCCAAAAAAAATAGATGTTATGTCAAAAAAAAACACCCCAAATACCATGTGATAAAAGAATGATGGAATATGGTTATACGCTTAGAGAGACTGTCAAAATCCATCTACTAAATGATCCATCTGTGTGAAAATCTTGGTTAATGGAAAACAATTCAAACCTATGACTTGTTGGTTGAGAGAAAAATAAAGCTAAGTATAGATATGCGAATGTGTTATGATTTAGAAAACTGTTATATACTATGGTCGCTAATGATGAACAGATATCGAGTGTCAGCCATCAACTTTCGACAAATTCCTAGTTGATTCCTGATCCAACTTATTAATGGAGAAGATACGATGGACGTGTAGAGACGTGTATATTGAGATCGAAAAACCGAAGACCAAAAACAAAGGAAACTACACAGCTAATATAAAGTTTACAGTTGGTTAAGTACTCAGATAAGCATAGCACTGAGCTGAAAGAAGTGAGCGCGTAAAACAGATACTAGACATACCTTGGGATCGTGTTTTTCTGATCGATCATCTGTATGTTTATTCACACGAGCGACTGGAGGAGGCATTTCACCACCTAGCAGCACACGACAGAGTAGTTCACGATCCTGAAATTAAAAGAAAACAGATAGTTAGTTAGATGGAAGCTGTCGACAGGGAGTCCTGTAATCTCAATGGGGAACTGATGTCCCCTATTTGCGACAAAAATGTAGACCTCGACGACGTGCTTCGTTCATTCAATGAATGTCATCAAGCCCTCAAGTTTACTATAGAGAAGGAATCAGAATCAACTATTCCTTTTCTTGATGTGCTTCTCACCCGACGCCAGAATGGATACCTTAAAAGATCCATCTACAGAAAACCAACGTGGAACGGGCAACTAACTAATTTTTATAGTTGGGTGCCCATCAACAGAAAAAGAAATCTTATTCACTCCCTTTGCTATCGAATAAGAAGTATCTGTAGAGACGATTGTATCGACGAAGAGCTATCTTTCCTAAAAAGCATACTTGTCGAAAACGGTTACCCTAGCCGTTTTATTGATAAAAATATGCGGGAAAGAAACACTAAACCAGTCATCCACTCGGTCTCAAAGAAAAGATTGTTTATGAGCCTAGAGTTTAAAGGAGACCTAGCATCGGATGTACTGAAGAATCGTCTTACCAGATCAATCAATAGGACTTTCTTCGCAGCAAGACTCCAGTTGACTTTTACCAGCCGCAACCTATTCTCCACCTGCGTCAAAGACAAGCTTCCTCGTTTGGCCGCCTCTATGTGCATCTACCAGTTCACCTGCTCTTGTGGAGCAAGGTACATCGGCCGTAGCCAGAGAATGCTTTCTACACGTATACGAGAACATGTTCCTGCTTGGTTTTATAAAGGTGAAAGAAAGTCTGTTAGAAGTTCGATTCTAGAACATTTGATTGACTTCCATCACACAACAAATCCAGACGATGACTTTGAAATTATTTATCAAATTCGCCCAAACCTCCCACGTTCTCTTCGTTTTCAACTCCTTAAAACAGCGGAGGCTTTAGCTATTCATGAACTAAGACCTGATCTGTGTGTACAAAAGAAGTATGTGCAGTCACTGTCTTTATCATGGCCATAACATTTTCCCACCCCATTAGCTCCTTCTCCCACTTTGTTAATTTAACCTTTGTATCCTTCCTTTATCACTATTATTGTTATTATAATCGCCTTCACTTCAACTAGTTTCCGGTGTTGTTTCACTTAATTGTCTTAATCCTTTTAGAAAACATTGACTTCATCTTGTCCAATTTGTCTAATGCCATTACATAATACTTAATTGATTTACCATTTTCAACAATTTTTTCACCCCCTTCTGAGTTATACATCTTCTATGAACCATTCCATATATTACATAATCTATTTGTTATCATTCGCACTTCAATTGTTATTATAATCATAAATGCCTATGTCATCACCACATAGTGTTTAGTTTTCCTCACAGAATATAATTTTTTTCCAAATACCATATATATACGATTGTACAGCTTGAAAATAAATTCGTTGAAAAGAGTCTCTTCGCTGAATATCTTGTTCCCTATAAAATGTTACCATTGAGTTAACATCCATAAGACGCTATTGCTTATTTAGAACTTTGAAACAAGCAACTGGAAGATCTATTTTCAACAAAAACTTGTCTAGGAATGAACAACAAGTATTCAAAAACATACTACTGAGTATTTACAACTTTGTTTGTACTATTTGTTGGCTGATTTCTAGGAAGTAAAGATTACTGAACGATTGCTTCACTGTAAGTTCAACCTGTTGAACATTACACGCACTTTTTATCATTTTCATATTCCAGCTAAAAATTATGTAACTCTATTAGTCAATGGGGTAATTGTTCGGTTCAGTAGATAAGATTCACTAGTCTACATATTCGTGATGGCTTCATTTAATGCTTACATAAATTGAAACTAGGCTTAAAGAATACGCTAAAATGACTAGTTGGCCTTATCAGTGACTTTTCTAGTGTATACCATTTCAAATACACAAAATTCATCAAGGTATGACATAGAAATGAAATACAATTTAAAAAGTTAAACATCTTAAAGACGTTAATATGATACATTGGAAATAGTTTCTAATTCCCTATAGACCTTACAATCGATATGTTCATAACCATTTCAATGTTGAACTAAATAAGGGTTCTAATATTATTGCTTGTATTATCCTATCGTTGACTGGACTGAATCGATAGATCTTTATTAGCATATAGGTACCTGAGCGAATGCCTCGATATTGCCTGTGTTTTAATCATACATTTATGACGGATAGTGGCTAGCAGTGAAATGCACGGCACGCGTTCCCATCATTTCGCTCCACTCAACGACGGGATAATACAAGAAACAACATTAGAACTATACTCGTTGTACAAGAAGTGACTATCGTGACTTAGTCGTCAAGTGGATAACTCTCTGACATTTGAAGCAATCGGTTCCGAGTTCGAGCCCCGATGGAGCCAACATTCATTGGGAGACAGATACATACAGCTGACGAATCGCAAATAAAACGAAACGCTTGGTTCCATTGCTAGCCACTTTCCATCGTTAATAAATAAAGGTCCAACCAGACGTTGAATACTTCTGTGTAATACATTTTGAACTTGAAAACAACATTCGTCAATTGGATGCAAATGTACAATTTCAAGACAAATGTTCACAGACAAGACAGAAATCAAAGCAGAACCTCGTACACAAGTGGATCTACTTAAGTTGCTACACTCCACAGTAGCAAACAAAGAACGAGTGGATAGAAGAGAGCAGATAAAGGAGGATGAGAAAATACACAATCTGAAGAACACAGTCAGTGCAAATATTCAAGCTTTGCATGATGTCAAAAAGTGAATACACTTGCACCACCACTGTGTCACCAAATTTCAGTCCTAAACCCCTGATTCCTTTCATCTTAGATGACCTCAGCCAGGCAGCCTACATCTCCCTAAATGGCTCAGACAAATAGTCAGAGACTTCATCGACTAGTGTCACGTCTTAGTCTAGTCAACCTGAACACTCTCTCCTAACCCTAATCCAACTTGATCTCGTATAAGATGTCAAGGTAAGCAGTGGCTGAACATGAGCAGTCAATATTTGCACAAATAGCACTTAGTCTACAAGAGGAAAATTTTTTAGAAAAGATAAAAGATTGATAATATGTAAACTAGGGGTAAGGGAAGACATGTAGCGTTATTGATCAAAATTGAACACTTTGACAAAATGAAGTCTATTCGAAATAAACAAAACGAAATTTCTAAAACTTACTAACTTTGTTGATTTAAGTGGAAAAGTCGAGAAACAGCTAACAAACAATCCTTAAAAAACTAAGGTATAGTGGTATAATTTCAATGAAATACATAAGAAGTACTAAGACGCACAGTTAATGGAGATGTCCAAACTTCAGTAGACATCAAAGAGTGATACATTGTAACAGATTTTGTAGCATATCACCAAGTCTCTCCAAACTTTGTTTCCTATTGTCAAGAAGACATCAATTAGGTAATCTACTACAGACTGAGAACAACATTCAATGACTTCAACGACTGGTATCACGAAGTCTGCATCATGTTACTCTCAGCCTCTTTCAAAACCCAATTTTACTTGAGCTAAGACTGCATATCGAGATAAGTGATTGTTCGGCATATTCAACATATGTCAAAGACACGTCGATCGATGAAGGTTCACAACTTTACCAATCGACTTCCCTATCTTCCCAAGTACCCTTCGCCTGACCTCAACATTACTCACACGATGATTCCACTAAACGTCAACAATGCTGTGTCAGTTAAGGTAGGGCTAAAAAAAACTCCTAGTAAAACAGAAGACCTGAGATAAGAAATCGCATCCACTAAGGAGAAGCTATCCATCAATAGTTTCCTTTTAAATGAATTAGGTTGATAAGCAGTGGTGATAGCATGGATGTTAGTAATGATGGTAATGATAATAACAATGATAGTGGTGATAATGAGAGATGAAATTCAGCAACCCTCAAAAACTTTATGTGCGATTTCCAATATGCTGGAAGTAGAATGACATTTAAACTCACAAACTAACTTAGCAACAAGCTATGTAGGTTAGAAAACTCTGTTCATCTGAGACTATTCGCAGTTTAGTAAACCTGTAATTATTGATATATTGTGATGACTGAAGGTCACAACGTGAATCGAAACAAGGGATTCCAGCTTACCGGTCAAGTGCCTTACTAACTGAGCTGTGAAACCCAGATGATTGACTAGATCTTCATTTCACATCAATCACAAAGGGTTTTACCTAGCTGCTGGATAAATTCGTGGTAACTGTCCGCTTACCTGGTCATCAGGTGAGTTGCATAACTCTGGAGACGACTGGTTCGAATCGTGTCATGACTCAGGTCCTCCATTTAACCTTCAATCACTAGCTTTGAATCGAAATTTAGTTTACCAATTATCAAGAGGTCAAATACATAGGTCAAAATAGTCGATCAGGATCAATTAGAATAAAAGAGCAAAATTACCTACCCTAGTAAGATAAAATGTTTAGAGCAAAGCTCAGCTATAGGTATGCATGCAGCAGTTAAACACAACCACACAACTAATAGGATAGCAGAGAATGAGAGTTCAGATACACAGAAAATTCTACCAACTATATCACAAGGGAAGAGAGGCACAGAGAATGTAACTATCTAAGCCATATCATGAAAATGTAAACTGATCTTGATGTGGCTATGGACATTATTCGGCATAGGTCTCAAAACAATACTATTCAACTCCCCTCTGTGTGGTAGAGTTGTAGGGACGCTTTCCTAAGGAAACATGTATAGAGTGGGCTTCGGTGCTACTTGACCTTCACAACGGTTTATTAACTTCATCGGATATCCATTTTCTATAAGTGTTTTGGTTAATGATTTGATATCGTCATCCATTGTATTTCATGTACTGGCCTTTCACTAAGTCTAGCTGGTATTGGATTGGACAAATATTGTGAAAATTCAGGTATTTTCTTGTCCATGTAGGGTTTCTGTAAACTGACCATCTTATTCAACCATTTTCCCGTCCACTCAGGCGTATGTCTGAGAATGACAGGTCGTGATTATTCCCTTTCTC